TCGTTTTCATGACAATATTTTCTATATTCTTCATATAAAGCCTTTTTTTCATACATTTCATAAGGACAATCTAACCAGAATAGCGCATATCTATTTTCGTTATCTAGGTCTTTTCCAACAAACTCAGCGTACATTTCAAATAAAATAAAAAAATATTTTTTTTTAAATTTACTCAGAAAAATTTTTCTTTGTATATACGCCGTTCTGAACATCTAAAAGACTTTTGACATTTGCCAAGAATGTTCGTTTAGACGCTGTCATATAACCATACTCTTGACAATATTGTTTATACGAGTCGTACAATGACCTTTCATCTAAACACTCAAAGTTAGTCTCATCTATAAACAGTTCATAAACACTCTTGTTTGCTTCTAACAATGTTTGTCTTTCTTCGGTATATGGAATTTGTCTTGGATTGAACTTTGAAATATCTAATGTCATAAAATATGAGAACAAGTGGTTGTAAAAGTCAGATGTCAAAGTTTCTGCTAAGTGTCAAAATATTCTGTATCTTGCATATGAGCTTCTGACGTTTCTGACAACTACATATCTTCTGTCAGAACTTTCTAACTTCATCGGAACAGAATTGTTTGAAACCATAATGAAGTTTTGCAACATTTTCACAAACTCTTTGGTCTTATACTTTTCTTTCAACAACTCCAACTTTGTCTGTTATAAGACTCTTCAAAGCATCTGAGTTCAAAACTTTTGTTGTATCTATACTTTGAAGTTCGTTACATACTATAAGTTTCATATTCTCTATTGAAGAGTTAAATTTACCGCAGATGTTTTCTAAGTTGTCATATTCGGGTTCGAATAGCCCCTAACAGTTTGCATAAGATATCTGTAAAGAATGTGTTCTTACCAGTTCCTTGTTTTCCAATTATAATGAGAGCAGTTTCATTTTTTAGCACTTGGATGTTGTAAGATATTTGCAAACCAACATAAGATATACTCAAAACCTTTTCGTTTCCATTGCATATAATTTCTTTGACATGGTCTAACCAAGCTTCTATAACATTTCTTTCCATTCTACTTGTTCGTATTTATATCCAGTGAAGATAGAATAGAAGTTTGGAGAAGGTGTATAGAACTTTATACCACGAACTGAAAAATCTTCTAACTTTGACAATAAGTATCCCAAGCATCTAACATCTTCATGCCAACTTGTACGACTTTTATTTTCTTAAGTTTCTGTCTACATTCTTGTTCTGAAACTATTGTTGCTTTGTTTGTTACAACATCCCATTCTTTCATAACATAACATTCTGGGGCAGAGTCGACATAAATGGACTAAACGTTTCAAATTCTCGACTGCTTTGTTATAGTCTCTAAATGGACACATATTTCTGAACGCTTGGAAGTCATAAAAATCTGAAACATCTATTTCTGTACATTTTTATAAAATAAAAAAAAATATTTTTTTATTCTTGACTTTGTTGTTGCATTTGTTGTTCTTGAGCTATTTGTTGTTGAAGTTGTTCTTGTAGTACAATACTTTCACCAGTTGCATCTTCCAATTCGAAACTTTCTGCCGTCATTGACAAATACATAGGACATAAAAGTTTTACAGGAACAAAGTTTGCGTCAACTAAGGTTAAGTTTATGTTTGCTAAAGTGTTTGAGTTCACTAAAGCTGAAAACTCTGCATTCGAATGAACAATAGGCAAACCAGCAGAGAAAGTATTGTTTATACGCATAAGTATCTTTTGGTCATATAGTTTCTGTCGACATTCGAATAGCACTTTGAACCTAAGTTTGAAACAATATATAAAATAGGTGTACTTAAAGTCAATGGAACAGACAAACCTTGTATGACACCTTTTCCTGTTATAGGAAACTGTTGGTAGTAAAAACCAGATATAAGTTTTGTATTATAGCTCATATCGTTATAGTAAACTCAGTCGGACATCCAAACATAATGAAACCTGCTCTAGTTGCAGCACATGTTACATCCGTCCTTAAAGTATTAAATAAGTCAACAAAACCTGTTGGTGGTATATCTGAGTAAGTATCTTCAAAGGAGTATTTTTTACCATTCACAAACATAAAGTCTTCTGGTGTCAAAAGAGCAAAACAGGCTTTAGTCGTCATTGTGTTTAAAGTTAGTTTACAATACCGTCCTTGAGGACTTTGTTTGTTGTTATAGAATTATATGACTCAGGGTTTTTAGTCGTAATAGTATAAACCATTATATCTTCTGCCATTTATATATATTTAAAAGTTTTTCTGAAAGTGGAGAAGAACTTCATCTAAACTTTCACATGGCGTTTCTTGAAGTTCTCTGTCTAAGAAGTTCAAATATTTTGTAAAGACATAGAACTTTCCTTTGTCTACACGAACAAACAAAACAGGGTCTTTCATATCGTTCAAAAGTGTGTAAAGTCCTTTACATGAAATAAAGTCTATATTATTTTTCTTCAAACATCTTTCAAGAAGTTTTGACATTTTTACTTAGCAAATAAATTTTAATGAAATGTTGTGGTCGTCAAATATTTTTATGACGTCTGGGAAACTATACTTTAAGTTCAACGTTTCACCTCCTTTCATAACGTATATCTTGTCAATGACATTATATGAAACACCACAGCAACTAATGTCGGTTCTATTTCTTGATGTTTATATCGTCTGCCTCTGTCAAAAGTTTCAATAGTTCTTTCAAACTTCATGAGGTGCAATGACATATGAGTTCACTTTTACAGGGTTGTGTTCGACCAAGTTTAACATTATACTAAAGCTTGACAAATCTTCTCCTGAGTTTTAAGTTTGTCTTTAAGTTGTTGGTAGTCGTTTCGAATATCTGCAACAGAACTTAAGTCTCTGCTAACTTCAGGGTATGTTGGTTGTTCTTTTACAGGAACTATTGTTATACCATCTTCGTCTTCGTATGGTTTCCCCACTTCAACATCTCTTTCTTTGACATTGACAACAACACTTTGACTGTTTGTTTGAGTTGGTGAATTTAACTTCACATCTGCCACCGCCATTAAACCTTTTGAAACACTCACGCTTCTATTTTTCGGAAATGACATTTTACTTAGAATAAAAAGATGGACGTATTTGAGTATCTCTTCGAATTGAAGCAAAACAAAGTTTACACACACAAACAATACAAGTTCATTGACAGAGTAGTTCTTTACACAAACAATGGAAAATGTTATAGAATAGCAGTCTTTGCTGAACCAAAATATTTTCATAAAGCAAAGAAAGTTGGTATAACCGAGATGGTGAAAGTTCTTGAAGCAGACAAAAATATAACAACAAAACTGACCGATATTTCTAAAGGAAAGTTTATCTTACAATTTTATGTCAAAACTGGCGTACTGTCAATATTTGACGGAGAGAAGTCAGTTCAAGAACAACTTACTGACCTGCTGCCAAAATCTGCTCGATGGAAGCTGTCGTTATGCCAATCTGAGGAGCCCCAGCAGGTTTCATCGAACGAATCTTCAAAAGAGCATCTTCCGTGAAAAGTGCTATTGGTTTTGTAAACTTCTTTGCTCTCAGTTCATCTGGACCGTCTCTGTCACCAGTATATTGTATTTGTACAGTACCAACAGTTGAAATACCACCCATAAAGTCTTCTGAGTCAGCAAATGGAATGCCAAGCCAAAAGTTTGAACGGTCTCCATTTGTATATTGAGTTTTTTGACCTCCTGTATGAGTCCATACTTTCACATATGGCATAATAGAACTTTGCATTTCAGGGTTAATGGTTGTTGTGAAGTTGTTGTTAAAGTTCATAGCATCTAATGTCAAGTTGTATGACCTCATATCCTCAACTGTAGAATATTCTTCTCTTGGATAGTATTTGCCATCTATGTTTATATGGTATTTAATACCAGGGTTGTAGAAGCAAGAATAGTCATTTATAGTTCGTCTGAACAGTACAAACATAGTATCTGCATGTTTCATTGCAGTTGTTAAAGCAATATCTGTTCTTGCACCTGGGTCAGCACTTTGGTTTCCAACTTCACCTGCAAAGTCTTTGACAGATATTTGGTGTATAGGGAACATAAGTGGAACTGCAATATATTTGGCAGCTAAAGCATTTGAAATATCTGGTCCAACATATAGACTGCAAGTCTGCTTTCTATTCTCTTGCATTCAAATTTTCGCATGTGAACTTAACTGGGTCCCAAGCATCTCCAGCAGCATTGAAATAATAGTTTACTTCAGTGTTGAGGTTTGAGAAACCAAAGTCTAAGTCAACTTTGTTTTTGCAAAAGTCGGCGAATGACGTTTTATTTGTTCCCACTACGTCTGTAAGAGTGAATGGGTCTTGCGTTGGTGCAATGACTAAGTTATTTTTGCTTGGAGTAAGTTCGATAGAAATTTTTCCTGCCCAGTTTGGCAAGTATCTTAAAAACCTGAAGATGAGGAAAGATGACAAAGGAACTCTAAGTTTCAGTTTTACTTTGGTTACTGCTGCTGCAGTTTGTCCAGAAAGGTTAACATAAACTCCTGGAACGTTAGGGTCAAGTCTTCTTATTTTCTCAATGGTGGCATACTGGTCTGTTTGTTCTCTAGCTTGTGGTTGTACTGAGTTTCTCAAAGCGAACCATTCATAGTTTGCCCATGTTACTGTTTGAACTAAGTCAGAGTTAGAATATATCTTATATCCCATGAAAACTTCTGGAGCATATTGGTATCCGACATAGAAAATTCCATTGCAACCTTTCTTGTCAGACAACTTGGCAGAAGGTTTTATTTCAATGTCTTGTTCCACGTATAAGAATGAGTTGTCAATAGAAATAATATGAAACCTGTCGCAAGCAATATCTACTGTTGTTGAAGAACTTCTCCAAACTCACCTACGTTTCCATAAGAAACAGCAGTTGTATATTCGTAAGTTCCAGGAACTATTTCTGACCTTCTAATGGCATTGTCGCATTCGTTATACCATTCGGAAACATTTCCATTCATAGCATCCAAAACTGTTGGCGTTATATTCTGAGCGGCGTACATTTCATATGAGTAAAAATATAGAATAGTTGGATTTATATGTCATAATAGAACCCACGTGGACCAAGCTTTACTTTCTTCCTGACTGAGTTTTTAACTCTTCTTTTTCCTTCATTGCCCTCTGCTTGAAGTTGTTGCATCTTTGCATTATGTTCATCTAGTATGTTGCAAATTTCCCATGTCCTTTTTGCCTTTTGGCTCTGGTCGCCCATCTCAGGTAACCTATATCCTAGAAAGAGTTTGTCATAGTCTGTATTTGAGTCTTCGCGTATTGTTTGCATGACTCTTTCCTGAGTTTCTGGTTCAAGCTCTTCAAACAGTGCCTGTCCATATGGAATATGCTCGTTTCCAAATATATGTTTTTGTAGCCATTCTGGTTTTCTTTCCATGTTACCAACAATATCTTTTGTGAATGGGAAAGCTTTTACCCAATCTTTCAGTCTTGCGTCGTTTATTTCTGTAGTTGGTTTTATTTTGTCAAGGAACATGTTTTTCAATACTAACATTTCATTTGGTACTGTCCATTTGAGTTTTCTTAAATATTCATCCCTTCTCATTTCATTGTCTGCAAAGTAAGTTTTTATGACATTTTGTAAACTTTCATTTGCAAGGTCATGTACAATAGGTTCTCTTCCTTCTCCCTCCCTAACTTTCTTTCTAAACTCTTCACCAAATATACCATCTCTATGGTTCTGTGTAGTTCTTTGAGATAAATGTTCTAGAACGTCAGGTGTTATATTTCCATCAGCCATGTTCATTTCATACTGGTCCAAAATATCTGCATCTTTCATATCTTTCAATGGCATTAAAGCCGCGCTGAAAATACCAGCTATATCTGGTTCACCATTCACTTCCATTGCGTCTACAACTTCTTGGAATTGTGGTTGTAAGTTTATGAACCACCTATCCGGATTAGCTTTATGACCCCATCTCATTGTAGTTCCATCGTCTGCAGAAACAAAAGTAGGTTTGTTTCCATATTGGTTAGGTTCTGAATGAACTTTAAACAATGTTTCATTTCTATATGTTTTCTTGAAATTTAACCTTTTATCTTCACCGAGTTCATCGAAGATTGAACGTTAAATGCTCGTAAGTAAAAAGGGTTGTTGTATTTGTGTACATTTTTTTTCAGTTCTTCCATTCTATGCTGAATATTTTCATCTGGTGCTGGAGTCTTTTGTATGTCGGCAAACATTTTTCGATATTCTTCTACTATGTCAGCCGAATTTTTTTTAGACTCTTGGAAATATTCCATATTCTCCGCATACTCTTGTTGAGGGTCAAGATTTTTCGGCTGTTCCAAATCTTCATCTAGTTCTGTGAAGTTAGTTTCCAAAGGAGTGACTTGTTCGTTTCCTTCAGGCTCTTCTAGCTGTTGTTGCTGAACTATTTCTTCCATGTCTGGTTGTATCTGAACTATTTCTTCCTGTGGAGTTTCTTGTACCTCATCTGCTGGCATTTCATATATTCCGAGACCGTTTTTAACAATTTCCCTATCTACGTCATCCGCATTCATAAGCTTTTGTTCTTTCGTTCCGTCTCTATTTTTTACGCGTTTCATGACGAAAGTTGAATTGTCATTTAGCTCTGACATCAAATATCTCGGAGTAAATTCATCCATGTCATTTGGATGATATGCTATTAAATCATATCCCTTAGCGAGCTTGTATTTTCCAGGTTTGAGATTATATCCGTTTTGGTGCTGAGCCATAAAGCTAAATAGGTTCGGGTCAGTATTTCCATCCTTGAACTTTCTAATAGCTTCTTTATATCTGTCACTAAAGTCAACAGTATCTGGGAAACCACACTCTTCTTTAAGCATTTTTAAGAATTCTTGGTTTCCTTGTTCTCTACTTCTTTTATGTCCTTGCTCTGTTTGTGGTTGTTGTTGTGCAGTGTTTTGAACTGTTGGTTGTTGTGCAGGGTTTTGAACTGTTGGTTGCTGTGCTGGTTGTGGAGGTGGTTGTTGTGCTGGTTGTGGAGGTGGTTGTTGTGCTGGTTTTGGTGCATGCCTGTGTCTGTGTCCATTTGACGATGTAAATGTTTTAGGTAGTCCTGGTGCAGGTGCTTCTCTTGGAGGGTTTGGTGGTATATAAGTTCCACCAGCTGGCACATATGTTCCATCTGCAGCGTAATGTCCTACCTGACTTTTCGTTCTTAAGAAAGCATTTACTAGGTCTGTTTTGGTCTGTTGTAACTCTTTTTCTTGACTTTCCACAACAGTTGCTCTAACGGCGTCATAGGCACTTTGAACTGCCTGTCTCGTTGCTGCATCTGTTATTTTCGTCATATTTTGTGCTACTTCTTTTAACTCTTTGTCGAAACCTTCAGACTTCAGTTTCTTTCCAGATGAGAAGTCGTTCACTTGTTTCACCTTACTATGAAGAGCTTCGAAGGCGTTCTTAAAGTCAGCATTTGTTAAAGCTTCATTTGAACTGTCTTCATCCGCTTGTATTTTTGTCCTTATTGACCCTATGAGTTGGGCTGCTTTAGCGTTGGCTTGGGCATCTAACCAGTCATTATTAGCTTTTATATATTCTGCGCTTTTCATTGCCTTTTGCATGGCTGCGTCGTTATTTTTACTTTCTTGTGCTAAGTTTTCATACTGTACGGTTTGGTTTTGCAACTGTAAAAGTTTTTCTGCCTTTACATTTGCTTCAACTTCTTTTTTATACTCATCGCTATCCATATATGTCTTCAGGGCTTTTTGTTTTATTTCTTCATCTTTCAGTACTTTATATTGAGTAGTATGGTTTTTCAAATTTATGACATCTTGTTCCATTTTTGCTACTTCTGCTGCTTTTTCTGACACTTTTTTCGCATATTCCTCTGTACTTAGTTCTTTCAGTTGTTCTTCTTTCTTCTTTTTCTCTACGTTTAACTCATTGAGTTTCTTTGTGTGTCTGTCATATTCTAGTTTCTTTTCGTTTTCACTTATTTGTTTCTGTATGTCTATGTTTGACTTTTTGACATCTGTTATTTGATTTTTGAGTGAACTCAAATTCATTTGACTTTGAGGGTTATAGGCTGTTCCGTCTGCAGCTCCACCATAGCCTGCCATTTTCGCTAAAAGTGCCGCTCTTAAACCTCCACTCTGTGCACCAACAACTCGGTTTAAAAGCATAGGATTGCTTGACATTTGTTGCAACATAGTGGGGTCATTCAGCATTTGTTGTTGCAACTGTTGTTGTGGTGTCAGTTTTACTTTTGGATGTTTCAATGCTCCCTTCCTCTTACGTATATTCTTACGTAGCTTACGTGGCATTTTAAGTGAAGTTAAAAAGCGGTTTTTGACAGATGTATATATGACACTTTTTGTTCAGCACAAAAAACTACTCGCGTCAAAGTGTTGTCAGTTTTGTAAAATAACCGTCCTATCTCATTCTATAAGGGGGAAAGTCTTCTCAAAGTATACTTCCTTGGAACGCCTGTAACTTTTCCTGTAGCGACGATAGACCTTACTTGTCCGGACAAAGCTGTACTATTTTGAGTGCTCTACAAAAAAGTCAACGGCTACGACTCTCAAAAACCGTTGTGTAAAAAGTTTTACCGTTGGACAAAAAAGTATATATAGAAAACAAAAAACGTTTATAGTTCATTCAATATTTGAGATGGAACGGTTTGCCAACGGTAACTATTAAATAAAAAAAAAATAGAGGGGTTACCGTTGACGAAAAACGGTTTATTTTAAACTTTTCTATGAGTAGTCCGAAAAAAACAGTTTATTTTTGTCTAATGGAAGCCAACATTAACAATTCTCAACCGCTAACCAAAGCCAAAGCCCCACAACCTCCAAGAACTGGCACAGCTGTTAGAATAACCGCCAAAAAGTCTAACAGCGAATTAAGAGAAATTCTTCAACAAATTTGCTCTAAATATCTCAAAGACGCCGAAGAAAACACACAACCAGACGCTATATACAATACTCAGTTCTGTGAAGTTCTGAACAAAGCAATTGCTAGTTCAATTGAACTTACTAAGACAATTCCAAGTCCAATTGAGCTTAGCGATGTCTTAGTTCAGTATTTTCCAACATTTACTAAGCTTATAATGTTGAGAACTTTATACCAAGTTCGTCAAAATCTTCCTCGTAACATCCAACGGTCATTCGACAAGACAATTGCCGAATTCCAAGTCTTTAGTTACGGATATGACCAAGATGAATACACTGACGAGTTCGGAGACAACTGTACAAAATGGTTTGAATGCTATACGACAACACAATTTGAATTCGACTTTCTCGAATTCAACGCAGCAACCATTCATATCATTGCTCTTTACCTTTCCGAACAACAACAAGACCTCGCAGATGGAGATGTTGTTACTGTCGTCATGGAAACTCCTGAACAATTCGGAAAAAAGAAGTCTCTAATTGCCAAATTTGTTCCAGGACATCAGCTTTTCCAACGCACAGAAGTCTTCTGTATTCCTGGAACTAAGTTCTTTGTCAAGAGCGAACTCAAACAAAGATATAATGTGTCATTCAATTACACATTATATAATGTTTTCGACCCAGAAGAAGACTTCTTCCCAGAAGCAATGGAAGAGGAAGAAGAAGAGAAACACGAAGAAGAGAAACACGAAGAGTCCTCCGAATTCACACCAGAAGACTAACAATTTTCCGAATAAAAACCTCATTTTATACTAAACATCTTCGGGGCTAGAAGGGGCGCAGCCCCTGGAAGCCCCATTACCTTTTTTTTTTTTTTTTTTTTTTTTTTTATTAGAAAATAATATGAGTTTATGTGATATTATTTTTCAGAAGATTTCATTCTATATTCCTATGAAAAGTACTCTCAAAACTAACTTTTTCCTAATTATAATTAAATCTAGAATATTGTATTATGCTTAGTATTATTTCATTTTTCTCATTCAATTTAGAATTTACAAATGTCAAAAAATTGAGAGCTGTCACTTTTGATGAATTTCTGTTTATTACAATACCACTAAAGATAGTATTTCAATATTTCTATTTATACCGCCTAAAGTTTGTAAAATGATGATGTACCGTAGGTTGAATAGCCCGAGACCAATTTCAAAGGTCGTGTACCAATAAAAAATTTTGAATCAATTTACACAACGTGCCCATTTTACTCACTCAATATTTGAGAAAATAATTCAATTTTGAGAAGAATGGTCCTCTGCGTTTTGAGTGAGTGATGAAAAAAAATCTCAGAAAAATTGAATGAGTTTTTATGGCCATGAACCAAATTTGTGAAGTTCCTGTTTAAAAAAATGCAACCAAGAACACGAATTCCCGAGTTTGCAGAATTAGAAAACTATAAAAATCTTGGGCTATTGACCCAGATGCAACTCGATTTACTCTATCGAAGAGTAAATGGCGAGTCTTATCAACAAATACGGAATGTTTACTCAATTTCAAAGACGACAGTAGCACGCGCAATCATGCGCACTGCTACTTGTCGTTCATGGACAAAAGGTCAGTCAGGGGGTGGTATGACCCTTTTGTCACTACCAGATGAAATGCAGTTCAAAAAACTTGTTCAAGAGATGGCAGACGACTTGAACTGTATTACAACATCAGTGGCCATTGCTGTCTGTACGGAATTACAAAATAGGAGATTAAAATTTGCGGCGCGGGTACTAATCGCTGCAAGATGCCCGCATCTTCTAGCGAAGCTCGATGATTACTGCCCATCGCCATCCCGTGGCTGGCTTAATCATATCGCCACAAGATTGTCAAACTATTGATATGCTCCGACGCTCTACCTGTGACGCAAACCATATTCGCCAATTTTTCCTCTCCAAGCATAGATACTTTGCCCGCAGGAAGAAGTTTATTGCGAATATGGACGAGACAATGCTCTATTCCAAACGTCGCTATAAAGTTCTTACTGCTGGCCGGAATCGCCCAGTTCGCGCTGAAAAGTCTCAGCTTCCACATCTTACAGGGGTCTGTACCATCTTTGCAGATGGTACAACTATGAAGCCAATGGTGATACTTCCACAAAAGAAGACCCTTGATGCGGAATTGGAAGATCTGGACGCCTTTTTTGTTCGCTCCGAGAGTGGATGGATGAACAAATACCTTTTTATGGTATACTGTATCATGTTCATCTGCAAAGTACAGGAGAAAAGGTCTCAAATGAATGTGTTTGATGCCCAGGTACCTTTTCTCCTAATTGTAGATGGTCATCCATCCAGGCTCTCTTTCTTGGCCGTTCGCCTCTTGAGCGCCTTCAATATCGAGCTTCTTGTTCTCCCAGGCCATACATCTCATATCTTACAACCTCTTGATGTTGGGATTTTTTCTCCCTTGAAGGCCCAATTCAAGAAGTTGTTTGATATGGCGACTATCCGGTACGATCAGCAAGGGCATATGGTGATCAATTATGTATGGAACGCCAGAGAACTGCGCTATATCATGGTTCGCAGCTTCCTTGATGCATGTAGTGTGTCTTGCACAGCTACAAACATCGAAAATGCTTTTAAAGCAACAGGAATCTATCCATTGGATATGAACAAACCTCTTGCTTCCAGATACATTGTAGCAAATGGAGTTCCTCCTGCAAGGCCCAATTTTGTCAACGACAAAGTCCTTACAGATCCAAATGTGATGATGCAAGTCTTCCAAATGGAATATGGACGCCCCATGCAGCAACAGGATTGGTATTTCAATCTGTTTGTGGCTATGCAATCTGTTTTGGCCTGGAATGGAGCATATGGCCAGGTTCTTAGTCGTGAGTTACATCTCCTTTATCCTACTGCAGGTGGATTTCAAAAAATCCAATTAAAATGATATAAAGCTGAGGAGCTCCAGGGTGAAGAGGAATTGATGAAGAGATGAAGCATCTTGATGAAGAGAGGAAGCACCTCGATCAAGAGAGGAAGTACTTTGAAGAAGAGAGGAAGCATCTTGCTGAAGAGAGGAAGCATCTTGATGAAGAGAGGAGGTACTTTGAAGAAGAGAGGAATCACTTTGTTGAAGAGAGGAAGCACTTTGATTTAGAGAGGAAGCTGCATGATGAAGAGAGGAAGCACTTTGTTGAAGAGAGGAAGTACATTGTTGAAGAGAGGAAGCACTTTGATTTAGAGAGGAAGCTGCATGATGAAGAGAGGAAGCACTTTGTTGAAGAGAGGAAGTACATTGTTGAAGAGAGGAAGCATCTTGCTGAAGAGAGGAAGCATCTTGATGAAGAGAGGAAGCACCTTGATCAAGAGAGGAAGCATCTTGATGAAGAGAGGAAGCATCTTGATCAAGACAGGAAGCATCTTGATCAAGAGAGGAAGCTGCATGATGGAGTGAGGAAGCATCTTGATCAAGAGAGGAAGTACTTTGAAGAAGAGAGGAATCACTTTGTTGAAGAGAGGAAGCATCTTGATGAAGAGAGGAAGCATCTTGATCAAGAGAGGAAGCATCTTGATCAAGAGAAGAAGCTGCATGATGTAGTGAGGAAGCTGCATGATGAAGAGAGGAAGCACTTTGAAGAAGAGAGGAAGTACATTGTTGAAGAGAGGAAGCATCTTGATGAAGAGAGGAAGCATCTTGAAGAAGAGAGGAAGTACTTTGAAGAAGAGAGGAATCACTTTGTTGAAGAGAGGAAGCATCTTGATGAAGAGAGGAAGCACCTTGATGAAGAGAGGAAGCATCTTGATCAAGACAGGAAGCATCTTGATCAAGAGAGGAAGCTGCATGATGGAGTGAGGAAGCATCTTGATCAAGAGAGGAAGTACTTTGAAGAAGAGAGGAATCACTTTGTTGAAGAGAGGAAGCATCTTGATGAAGAGAGGAAGCATCTTGATCAAGAGAGGAAGCTGCATGATGAAGAGAGGAAGCACTTTGTTGAAGAGAGGAAGTACATTGTTGAAGAGAGGAAGCATCTTGATGAAGAGAGGAAGCTGCATGATGAAGAGAGGAAGCACTTTGTTGAAGAGAGGAAGTACATTGTTGAAGAGAGGAAGTACATTGTTGAAGAGAGGAAGCATCTTGATGAAGAGAGGAAGCACCTTGATCAAGAGAGGAAGCATCTTGATGAAGAGAGGAAGCATCTTGATGAAGAGAGGAAGCATCTTGATCAAGACAGGAAGCATCTTGATCAAGAGAGGAAGCTGCATGATGGAGTGAGGAAGCATCTTGATCAAGAGAGGAAGTACTTTGAAGAAGAGAGGAATCACTTTGTTGAAGAGAGGAAGCATCTTGATGAAGAGAGGAAGCATCTTGATCAAGAGAGGAAGCATCTTGATCAAGAGAAGAAGCTGCATGATGTAGTGAGGAAGCTGCATGATGAAGAGAGGAAGCACTTTGAAGAAGAGAGGAAGTACATTGTTGAAGAGAGGAAGCATCTTGATGAAGAGAGGAAGCATCTTGAAGAAGAGAGGAAGTACTTTGAAGAAGAGAGGAATCACTTTGTTGAAGAGAGGAAGCATCTTGATGAAGAGAGGAAGCACCTTGATGAAGAGAGGAAGCATCTTGATCAAGACAGGAAGCATCTTGATCAAGAGAGGAAGCTGCATGATGGAGTGAGGAAGCATCTTGATCAAGAGAGGAAGTACTTTGAAGAAGAGAGGAATCACTTTGTTGAAGAGAGGAAGCATCTTGATGAAGAGAGGAAGCATCTTGATCAAGAGAGGAAGCTGCATGATGAAGAGAGGAAGCACTTTGTTGAAGAGAGGAAGTACATTGTTGAAGAGAGGAAGCATCTTGATGAAGAGAGGAAGCACCTTGATCAAGAGAGGAAGCACCTTGATGAAGAGAGGAAGCATCTTGATGAAGAGAGGAAGCATCTTGATCAAGACAGGAAGCATCTTGATCAAGAGAGGAAGCTGCATGATGGAGTGAGGAAGCATCTTGATCAAGAGAGGAAGTACTTTGAAGAAGAGAGGAATCACTTTGTTGAAGAGAGGAAGCATCTTGATGAAGAGAGGAAGCATCTTGATCAAGAGAAGAAGCTGCATGATGTAGTGAGGAAGCTGCATGATGAAGAGAGGAAGCACTTTGATGAAGAGAGGAAGCGTAAGAACCGATAACATTTACAAAATATTAAATTTATTTTGTAAATTTTCCAAAAGCCTTAGTACCAATGTGATATAAATGCTCCAAAAATACCATCCCTCCTTCCAAAAGCGTAAGAACCGATAACATTTACAAAATATTAAATTTATTTTGTAAATTTTCCAAAAGCCTTAGTACCAATGTGATATAAATGCTCCAAAAATACCATCCCTCCTTCCAAAAGCGTAAGAACCGATAACATTTACAAAATATTAAATTTATTTTGTAAATTTTCCAAAAGCCTTAGTACCAATATAATATAAATGCACTAAAAACCCAACTGCCAATAGCATGTATTCAAAAAATGCAATTCAATACAAATTTGATTGCATTTTTTGAGATGGAAGTGTATCTGAATTCACAATTGTAATCCACGAATACACTTCCATCTCATTGATAAGAGGCTAATGTTTTTCTCATTAATAAGGCGCTGTTGACCTCTATCCATAGCCGAAGTGATATTAACGTATGTTAACGTACAAAGTAAAAACATGTTTTTTCTTTTTAAAATCATTTAGTAATTAATAATATTTAGCACTCATAGTAAAAACATTAAAATTTATAAGAATCGTTATGAAGAAAAATTGAGAACTTATGATTTTTATTTAAGAAAATGATTAAATAATATATAAATAACCATATAAACAACATTTTAGATTCCTCTGAAAAGGGTATCTCAAATTGGTCTATGACCAATTGAATGGTTCGCCGGTTATTCAAGGTACGGTAATATTTTGAAAGAATTTTTGTAAGAAGCCGACTTTTACACATTGAATTTTTGACACTTTCTGACAAATTAAAACGTTCAAATTATTTTCAATCCTGAATAAAAGAGAAGAAATTCCAAATGGTATATGGGAAAAATACTATGGGCCTCCGGCTGAGGATTATGTAAATATCACTAATAACTCAAAGCCCACATTTGAAAGATTTTTCTGATTGTATCATTAATTGCAGGATTAATTCGATTAAATTATTGCATTCATTATGCACATATACTGATATTACAAGAAATGAAGGAGATGGTGGTTGCATCTACTTCAAATGTGATAGTTCCATTGTCCAAGATCGATTTTGTTCTATTAAATGTTACAATTCGGGCTACGGATTACATTCAAACACATATCTTAAATCACAAACAAAAATTAATAAAAATTTCGTCAATTTAGGTTCTCTTTATCAATGCGGCTTTGACAACACCGGAAAATCCAGTTTAGATCATTCTTACGGAGATATAACTCTTATCTCTTCGAATATCACAAATACAAGATGTAAAGATTATGCTGGTTATGATATTAGAAATGATCCAGTTAATATTAACTTTTGTTGTTTCGTTTCAAATGATAACCATGATGGAAATTCCATTTGCTTATGTCATTCTAGAAACCGAGATTCGTTTGTCAAAAGATCAATATATAAAAATAACTCAGGTAAGATTGATAATTTTAATGGAATCATTTCAACAACTTCATCAAATATTACTTTCTCAGAATGTATTTTCGTAGAAAATAAAGCAAATAATACTATTAGTGCATCGGATAGCATTATAACATTAATAAATTGTATCGGTGATGATTTATCATTCAGTTCTTCATATAATGGTATAGTAAATACAGAGCAAATAGAAACCGATTCGTTTAACCTCGCTCTGAGGCTTCTTTCCTTAGGAAAATGTGAAGCAGTGCATCCATTTTCATATGAACCAAAGAAAAATAAAACTGATGATCAGAACAATATGCAACTGAAAATGATTTCAAAAAAGAGGAGATAGATTTTCAATTAACATTTCTTAAAAAACATTATGATTCTCTTAAGACATTCTCTAAATTTTATGATATCAATGCTTTTATACTCCAATTTTCTAAGGTCAAAAGCTAATATTTTTGGTTGGGAAAAAGTTATTATAGTTCCTTATATAATACCTAACATGGTTGTTAAAGTTTTTTACTATTAAAATAAAGATATGTTGACATAATGGAAGCATGTCAAAAATTGGTAAGTGCATCATTAAGTCATATGAATTATATAAATCTATGGGCAATGGAAATGCTTCCAAATTTGGCATTGAAATTGTCTAATTTTTTTTCTATAATCATTAGAGTCATATTAAAACATCTCATAAAGAGTGCATTTATCCATATTTGACTTTAATTCATATTTTTGACAATAGGCATGAAGCATTTGAAAATCATTCTTAAACAACAGATTTGAAGGCTATGTCATACAGACTTAAATGTATCCTGTAGAGCCATCCCTACTACATTTATGGGCGTGAATTATTTCCACTTTGTATTAGATTTTACATGATCATATATATTCAGAATACCATTTTACTTGAATCAGAGCCATAATTGCTTTGGAAATGTTTAAAAAAAATCATGAATTTAAAATATTTTATTTCAAAGAGAAGTAGATTATCTTATCCTTAGTAATCTTCTTGCAATTCTTCTTCAACAACTGCATGAAGGCATGTCTCTGGTGTTCAGTCTGTAGGTATTGATTTTTAAATCTTGAGTTGATATCATTAAGTGTTGCTCTTCCAACATCCATGAAGTATCTGACGAGTTCCTCTTCTTTAATTGGTTTCTCACCTGTAACTTCAATAGCGATCTTCTTGATGTCTTCTTCAGCGACTGGTTTAGTAACAGCAGGAGTCTGTTTCTTCTTCTTGTCCTTCTTGTCTTCTTCTTCTCCGTCTTCTTCACTGTCTGTTTCGAAGTCTGATTCACTCAGTTTTCCGAGAACTTCTTCGACATCTTCTACAACATCATCTTGAAGGAATTCTTCATCGTCTACGTGGAAATCGACCTCGGCATCAATATCATCATCTTCAGCACGCTGTCTACCGCGTTTCTTGATCTCTTTGACGACATCTTTATCGCCGATATTTTGTAATGACTGATCATCAACATCTTCGAATTCTTCGTCATCGTTTTCGTCACGAAGAGATTGTATGAAGTTTTCTTTGCGTGCTTTGGCTTCTTCTTCAAGTAATTTGACGTATTTCTTGTTAAAAGCTTTTCTGTTGTCGTAGCTAGCTTTAAGCTTATCTTCTGCAAGACGCTCGCATTCATCGGCATCTTGTTCTTTGACATCTTTCGTAATTACAAAGCTATCAGAGAGTAAATTGAGTACATAGCGTCCTTTTTCTGGTGTAATGACTGCAAAGTGAGTACGTTGGCTTTCATCACATGTAAGAGTATATTTTGTTCCGTCTCCTGTTGTTAACGCCCATGGTTCTTGATTTGGAATTGGATCTGGTCTTCTGCTTGCAGCTTTGAAGTCTGTACGTCTTTTTCTGACATACATCTGCTCATTGTGGACTGTACCACCATTTGGTCCTGGATCTACTGTTGGTTGCCAAAGATAAATTGGCTGTTTTTCTTGATTTAGCATCCATTGAGGTTGAGAGGTGTTCTTGAAATAATTTAACTTGTGGGCTGGATCATATTCGAAGTATAAAGGAAATGTTTCGGACCGAATTGGTTCTCCCATAAGAATTTTTTTAAAAAACAATTATCGATAGAATTACGATTATTTTCAATTCAATTTTTGCAGATCATTTTTATAAGACTGAATGTAGGCGTAATTTTAACACTTACAGAGGCAAAAATTTTGGCCTGTAATTGAAACAGGTATTTCTTTCTATGGGTAGTATGAATCATACACAATACAGTATCTTCCATTTTATCAACATAAATCTTTCCTTATATAACAAATTTAATACTTTTAGATAATATAGCTGGAGAAACACTCTCTTTTTCATAGAAAAGTTTCAAATATTTTGAAAAAAATAATATTATCTGTTGAAATGATTATTGTGAAAAGAGAAATTATATTTATTGCATGTATTTAAAGTTTCTGATGTAATAATATCTGCCCAATATGGTAATTAAATAATAGCCGACAAAATTTTCAAAATTTACTGAGTCCATGAATCTTCAACACACTGTCTAACACGATGAATGTATTCTGGTCTGTTTTCTTTATATAGCTGGGCAGCCTCTGCGTTAGCTGGTGAATTTGGATTTGGATCTGTAAGTAATGACTGAATTGAGGTCAAAACTGCCGAGATATCATATGCTGGACTCCAGTTGTTTTGAAGGATATCAAGACAGATTGAGCCGTTTCGGTAAACGTTGGGATGGAAAATTGGGGTTGTGAATTTAACTGATGGAGGAACATGTGGGTATTCTTCTGTGAACTTCAATGTAAGTTTGAAAACACCATCTTCCCAACTTGTACCTTCTGGGCCAAAAATTACTGCATTCCAAGACATGATGTTATCTGATTCTGGTGAGGCTGAGAGACCTTGTTGTGGATCATTTTTGAGTTTTCTGAAATCATGAAGTAATCTCCTACGCGCATCAGTTGTCATGAGAGAAATATTTCAAAATATTAATTAAGGGTCCACTGTAAAAATTGAAAGTCTCTCAAAATTGAGAGGCGATTTGCAAATAATTGTTATCGTCTTTTTTCGAAAATCCACTTTTCCTAGTGTTCTGATTAATATTTTGTGAATGTAACAATAAAGTATATGTTTTAGTAAGATGATAATACATTCTATCTCTTCAAATCACATAAAAATTGCAAAATCAGCGAATTTTATAAGAACATGATTTTTTCGAATTTTTTCGCTTCTGGATGCGTGTTTTGAAAAATAGATATTTTCGAATTTTGATTTTAATTTAAGTATAAATTTTATATTAGGAATTTTTTTGACCTATTTCCAATCATTAATTCCTAAGTTTTTCTAGGAATTTAATTGAGAAGAAATTAGGAAATTCGGTTTAATGCCATTACATCCTAATATTGTGATGCATGTAGTTTATATTTATTGAGGCTAATGCCGGAATATCGTGCATTTTATAAAAAATTCAAAGAATTGACAATTGGATAGCACAAATTTAATTCTCTAGACAAAGTATTATTGTTTATATATTCAAAGCATTATCCTTCGTTTTGAAATGTTGGCCAAAATTTTCGTGTTATTTTTTGTGTTTCAGCATAAATTATGTATTGACTTATGAAAGATAAGCATTTTATTCATTATCATAAAGATATACCAAAACAAATTGATAAAATTTAAAAAAATGTGTATTTTAGTGGGTATTATTCTGGCCAATGCCCATTTTTAAACGATTTAATATTGACCATATCAATAGCCGACTCAATGTAAAAATTTAGATATTATTTTTTTCATTATTCAAACTTTGATAAATTTTAGTATAATGAATGATTTTGTTTTGTGTATGATACAGAAATGAAAAGCTTGATTAATATCATTTTGCATTTTTTCAAGAATGTTAGAGTACATCTACATTAAAAAATCGGATTCGAATTGCGATACTGCATCAAATTGTTGCACATCTGATAAGGATCTCAAAAGAGTAAAGTTAATTTTTTTGTGTTTTTTTAAGTTTTGGGCCTTAGTAAAAACACCATCTTGAGCAATATTTTTGGGACGATGATAGGCCTTATTTGGCCTTACAGTGGACCCTTAAAATTTTTTTTAAGTGTTCAGATGAAAATTACTTAATGGGATCAGGAATCACATATAATTCCAATAGTACTTCAAAATTTTATTAATATGAAGGCTTTTTTAAAATTTTTACGTGGTTTTTCTAAATTTTACAAAGAAATGTTGCTGGGGATATTAGGTTCATATTTGAACATATTTCTCTCTGTTCCTAAAGAGGAGTTGAAAGATTTCTTCAAATGGATCCATTTCCAAATTGAAAGCCAAATTCTCATTGTCAATGCTGATAAAAGCTATTTTGTCTCCCTTTGTCTCTTTGTTTATCTTAATAAAGCAGAATCAGTTCGTATCAACAATACAATATGGAAAAATCTTAATCTTTTTACAAAATGGAACAAATGAATCAAACCATTTCTACAGCATAATTACAGAAATAATTTATGCATAATGCAGTTTCATTATTGACATATAAACACTAGGTTTCATTTTCAAAAATTTAAAAAAAGAAAAAGGTGTATGTTATTGAGGTGAAATAAGAAATTCGGCTATTTCTTTTTTATTTTTAATTGTTGCATAATGAAGAGGAGTTTGTCTAAGATTATCTTTTTCATTGATATTTGCGTCATGCGAAATAAGAACTTTGGTTGTATCTTTACAATCAAAAAGTATTGCAACATGAAGACCTTCTCAAAGTTTATTTTTTAATTGAACTTGCATCATGTGAAAGAAGAACTTTTGTCATTGCTTTATAATTATTAAATGCTGCCCGATTAATATTGATATTTCCATTTTCATCTTTTTCATCGATATTCACCCCAAGTTAAAGAAATTTTTCTCAATGTGATCAAAAATGAGTTTAATCAAAATAAACTAGAAATGAGTCAAGAATACAAGAATATTTCAGAAACATTAGCAATAACAGAATGATCATAAATGTTTCCAAAAAGTTTCCGTTAAAACGAATGTGATACACGTCTCCAAAGATTCAAAATTTCTCTCCAACATGGAGGAAATGTGAGGTGAAATCAATGATGTTTTAACACTCATATCTTTACAAGCAAAAGAAGAATATCCATTATTATCAATCACCTAATGATGTTTGGGAACTCTTTTACAATACATCACCTAATTCAGAACCGATTCGAGGCACAAACGTTGCAGCAAAATCAACAAATCATGAATGTTTCATCTACGAAAGCATATTTATCACAATTTCAACACACAGTGCCATATATTTTACTAATGCAAACAATAAGTTCCTTAACTCTGATTGTTCATTTACTAACTGCAGTAGTATTACAAATAGTGGATCTATCAACTTTGATTGTGATAGTTCCATTGTACAATATCGATCATGTGGCTCCAGATCAAAAACAAGCTCGTATCAAGGGCATCATTCATATGTTAATTTAATTGAAAATTCAAATAATAAAAATTATATTTATGAAAGTTCTTTTTATGCATGCGGAGATATAGCAAAAGATAAAACAAATTATCTTATGTATGGAAATATTGAAGTTAAATCAATCAACACAAGTTTCTGTGAAGCAGACTATGACTCATGAATAATTCTAAGAACTTCAACTAGTTTAAGTAACATGACATTTTCATCAATTTGTAACACAACATCAACTTATTTAATTTTCGAATTAGATTCTGGTAACTATAATTTTAATTTTTGTAATGTTTTGAATAATGAACACAAAGAATCTAAATATGGAACATTCTATGCAGGTGGCTCAACTGTTCTTATTGGAAACTATTCATTCCTTGGAAACTCAGGACCAGGAGATGAATTTCATCAAACTGGTTCTGGTTCAATTACAGTTAAAGATTCTTTCTGTGACAGAAAAGATAAATCGCGTAGATCAGTTACACTAAATAATGTTCAAAATATATATTCTATTCATAATCTTTCTCACTTTTCATCATATCTGTGTGAAGCAGAGTTTCCTATTTTAGATTTAGTGATAAAGAAAAATATTATCACCTATGATGAAATTGTTTATCATTATTCATATCATTTTAATTCTTTTTGCATTGTTTTACTAAAGAAATAAATAACTTTTTCTACAATCCCATTAAGTTCCGAATCATGCATTCTTCTATTCGCAGCTATACGCCAACACAATTTACTACAAAATCGTTTATATCGATATTAGAGCCCACAACTCAAAACCAATACAACAATATATCTTTATGGAGAAGAATTTCTTATAATTATACGGAATATTTTTGGGATATGCTTCTTTGTATCTTTATCTAATAATGTATCTTTCGTTACAGACCTTGCTTTTGCTGCCTCTATTACGCACTCTTTAGGAAAGAACTATACCACTAAGTATACGAAATCCGAATTACATCTAATTTTAAATTGTCAAGTGCGTGTCATTTGATAAATGCTATAACATGAATCATTCTTTGCTTGGTTCTAAACATCAGATTGTGATGATTTGCGATTGCCTTGATCAGTCATTAAAAAATTATGGGTTCTGATGGACCATCTCTCTCCCCTCAATAAATTTTATGCAATAGAAAAAACAATCCTGAACATAAAAAAGAAAGATAGTCTATAGAAACACCAATTCAAGTGAACTTGGCATACGTTATTGAGAAGATTGTAACCAATGTAGAATATTGATATTTCATTAGAAACTTTACAAAAATGAGAATTAAAAGATTTTATTTTTTTGCGCATATTCATGTATTATGATTTGATAACGATAAAAACGGTTTTGATTTATTTTTCAAAGAGCATTCCTACTATACATGATGAGATCTAAATGGATTTCTTGGCATAGAAATCTCTAACAAAGATATCTCATTAGAAATTTAGTGTACAACATGTTTCTTTCATTATATTTATTCCTTAATCTCCAAACTTTTGGCATTGATTCCTGAATTTTAAGGTGAATTATAGTTTTAATACTTTTTATTAAGTATTCTTCGAGCAATACTATTTCAAGAATTTTTTATTACATTTTTATTAGTCCATTGATTCAACCTTGTATTCTGACTTGAAAGAATAAATCAGTTGTTATCGTATTTTTAAATTTGATGAGTTATTAATATCATCAAATTGAGATTCTTTGAATTTTAATAAAATTACTTCATTTTAAATCTATATTACATTTTGGCTTGGAGAAACACACATATCTGAGACATTGCTTATAAATAATTATAATCAATTTCTACAAAAATATTCAAAAATATATTTTTTAAAAAAAAAAAAAAGGTGGGGCTTCCAGGGGCTGCGCCCCTTCTAGCCCCGAAGATGTTTAGTATAAATGAAGTTTTTATTCGGAAAATTGTTAGTCTTCTGGTGTGAATTCGGAGGACTCTTCTTCTTCCTCCTCTTCCTCTTCTTCGTCATCGTCGGCGTAGTGGAGGAGGACGTAGTTCATCCAAATTCTGTATGGACGTCCTGATTTGGATTTAAATGAGATGGACATATTTTGTGTGAGTGTTATTTCAGTTTCGATAAAGAGTTGGTGTGCTGGTTTGAATATATGTTCGACGTTGGAGAATTTGTGCAACTCATCTTCTCCCAATTCTGTATTGATACAGACTTCGATGAAGTCACCACTGAGAATGTCTTCACCTGTGGGCATATCCACAACAATTAAATGAACGACACAATAGTTGTGAAATTCATTAGTAGGAAATACTGTTGCAGGCGTATTATATGAGGGGAAAAATGTTTTTTCTTCCCCAAATTCATCTGCTACTTCATCTTCATCGTATCCGTTGTTAAAAGCTTTAAATTCATGTACAATTTGAGCAAATTGTTGACGGAGATTTGGTGGCATACGTAAGCAAGCTTGTAACAATGTCCTACCTTCCACACACTCAGCAAATATGGGAAGGTAGGAACATATAATGTCCGTCAATTGGTCCTGGTTGGGGACCAATTGACAGAGTTTTGTGTATGCCGTTATTGTTTCTTTAACGGTATTTGTGTAGATACGGTTATATGGAGTATTTCCCTGGTTGTTAAGGGAAAAATACTCATCCGATTGTAATTTCAATCTTGACCTCAACTCTTTGTTCGGTATTCTTTGGTCTATTCTTAGAGCTGTATTTGTTCGTGCGGGCTGTGGTTTTAAAACATTCGAGTCAAGTTTTAATTGCTTCGAATTGGATGTCGATTTGAATTGGGAGTCTTTTGAGTTCTCCTGAGCTTGGTTCTGTATTAAAGACTGAATAGCAGTGTCAGCTTCTTGTTTTTCGAGATAGTATTCTATTGAATTGGGCTTCACTGTTCGAGACGCGTACATTATGAAAAATGAACTGTTTTTTCGGACCACTCATAGAAAAGTTTGAGATGAACCGTTTTCGTCAACGGTAACCCCCTCTATTTTTTTATTTTATTTAATAGTTACCGTTGGAAAACCGTTCCATCTCAAATATTGAATGAACTATAAACGTTTTTTGTTTTCTATATATGCTTTTTTGTCCAACGGTAAAACTTTTTGCACAACGGTTTTTGAGAGTCATCGCCGTTGACCGAGTAGTTTTTTGTGCTGAACAAAAAGTGTCATATAAACATCTGTCAAAAACCGTTTTTTACTTCACTTAAAATGCCACGTAAGCTACGTAAGAATATACGTAAGAGGAAGGGAACATTGAAACATCCAATAGTAAAACTGACACCACAACAACAGTTGCAACAACAAATTATGAATGACCCCACTATGTTGCAACAAATGTCAAGCAACTCTATGCTTTTAAACCGAGTTATTGGTGCACAGAGTGGAGGTTTAAGAGCGGCACTTTTAGCGAAAATGGCAGGCTATGGTGGAGCTGCAGACGGAACAGCTTATAACCCTCAAAGTCAAATGAATTTGAGTTCACTCAAAAATCAAATAACATATGTCAAAAAGTCAAACATAGACATACAGAAACAAATAAGTGAAAACGAAAAGAAACTAGAATATGACAGACACACAAAGAAACTCAATGAGTTAAACGTAGAGAAAAAGAAGAAAGAAGAACAACTGAAAGAACTAAGTACAGAGGAATATGCGAAAAAAGTGTCAGAAAAAGCAGCAGAAGTAGCAAAATGGAACAAGATGTTATAAATTTGAAAAACCATACTACTCAATATAAAGTACTGAAAGATGAAGAAATAAAACAAAAAGCCCTGAAGACATATATGGATAGCGATGAGTATAAAAAAGAAGTTGAAGCAAATGTAAAGGCAGAAAAACTTTTACAGTTGCAAAACCAAACCGTACAGTATGAAAACTTAGCACAAGAAAGTAAAAATAACGACGCAGCCATGCAAAAGGCAATGAAAAGCGCAGAATATATAAAAGCTAATAATGACTGGTTAGATGCCCAAGCCAACGCCAAAGCAGCCCAACTTATAGGGTCAATAAGGACAAAAATACAAGCGGATGAAGACAGTTCAAATGAAGCTTTAATGAATGCTGACTTTAAGAACGCCTTCGAAGCTCTTCATAGTAAGGTGAAACTAGTGAACGACTTCTCATCTGGAAAGAAACTGAAGTCTGAAGGTTTCGACAAAGAGTTAAGAGAAGTAGCACAAAATATGACGAAAATAACAGATGCAGCAACGAGACAGGCAGTTCAAAGTGCCTATGACGCCGTTAGAGCAACTGTTGTGGAAAGTCAAGAAAAAGAGTTACAACAGACCAAAACAGACCTAGTAAATGCTTTCTTAAAAACGAAAAGTCAGGTAGGACATTATGCTGCAGATGGAACATATGTGCCAGCTGGTGGAACTTATATACCAGCTGGTGGAACTTATATACTAGCTAGTGGAACTTATATACCACCAAACCCTCCAAGAGAAGCACCTGCACCAGGACTACCTAAAACATTTACATCGTCACATGGACACAGACACAGGCATGCACCAAAACCAACACAACAACCAACAGTTCAAAATCCAGCACAACAACCAACAGTTCAAAACACTGCACCACAACCAACAGTTCAAAACACTGCACCACAACCAACAGTTCAAAACACTGCACCACAACCAACAGTTCAAAACACTGCACCACAACCAACAGTTCAAAACACTGCACCACAACCAACAGTTCAAAACCCTGCACAACAACAACCACAAACAGAGCAAGGACATAAAAGAAGTAGAGAACAAGGAAACCAAGAATTCTTAAAAATGCTTAAGGAAAATTATGGTTACCCAGATACTCTTGACTTTAGTGACAGATATAAAGAAGCTATTAGAAAGTTCAAGGAAGGAAATACTGACCCGAACCTATTTAGCTTTATGGTTCAGCACCAAATGGGATATAATTTCAAACCTGGAAAATACAAGCTCGCTAAGGGATATGATTTAATAGCATATCATCCAAATGACATGATGAATTTACTCCGAGATATTTGGTGTCAGAGATAAATGATAATTCAACTCTCTTCATGAAACGCGTAAAAAATAGAGACGGAACGAAAGAAGAAAGGTTATGAATGCGGATGGCTTAAATAGGGAACTTGTTAAAAACGGTCTCGGAATATATGAAATGCCAGCAGATGAGGTACAAGAAACTCCACAGGAAGAAGTTCAGATACAACCAGACATGGAAGAAATAGTTCAGCAACAACAGCTAGAAGAGCCTGAAGGAAACGAACAAGTCCCTCCTTTGGAAACTAACTTCACAGAACTAGATGAAGATTTGGAACAGCCGAAAAATCTTGACCCTCAACAAGTGTATGCGGAGAATATGGAATCTTTCCAAGAGTCTAAGAAAAATTCAGCTGACATAGTAGAAGAATATCGAAAAATGTTCGCCGACATACAAAAGACTCCAACATCAGATGAAAATATTCAGCATAGAATGGAAGTACTGAAAGAAAATGTACGCAAATACAATAACCCTTTTTACTTACGACCATATAACGTTCAATCTTTGGCTGAACTCGGTGAAAATAAAAGGTTAAATTTCAACAAAACATATAGAAATGAAACATTGTTTAAAGTTCATTCAGAACCTAACCAATATGGAAACAAACCTACTTTTGTTTCTGCAGACTATGGAACTACAATGAGATGGGGTCATAAAGCTAATCCGGATAGGTGGTTCATAAACTTACAACCACAATTCCAAGAAGTTGTAGACGCAATGGAAGTGAATGGTGAACCAGATATAGGGTATTTTCAGCGCGGCTTTAATGCCATTGAAAGATATGAAAGATGCAGATATTTTGGACCAGTATGAAATGAACATGGCTGATGGAAATATAACACCTGACGTTCTAGAACATTTATCTCAAAGAACTACACAAAACCATAGAGATGGTATATTTGGTGAAGAGTTTAGAAAGAAAGTTAGGGAGAGAGAAGGAAGAGAACCTATTGTACATGACCTTGCAAACGAAAGTTTGCAAAATGTCATAAAAAACTTACTTTGCAGACAATGAACCGAGAAGGATGAATATTTAAGAAAACTCAAATGGACAGTACCAAATGAAATGTTAGTATTGAAAAACATGTTCCTTGACAAAATAAAACCAACTACAGAAATAAATGACGCAAGACTGAAACATTGGGTAAAAGCTTTCCCATTCACAAAAGATATTATTGGTAACATGGAAAGAAAACCAGAATGGCTACAAAAACATATATTTGGAAACGAGCTTATTCCATATGGACAAGCTCTGTTTGAAGAGCTTGAACCGGAAACTCAGGAAAGAGTCATGCAAACAATACGCGAAGACTCAAATACAAACTATGACAAAATCTTTCTAGGATATAGGTTACCTGAGATGGGCGACCAGAGCCCAAAGGCAAAAAGGACATGGGAAATTTACAACATACTAGGTGAACATGAGGCAAAGATGCAACAACTTGAAGCAGAGGGCAAGTTACCAAAAAGCGACACCAAAGAAGAAGAGTAGAACAAAGTGAAAGTAGTGAAGAAGTAACTTCATCTAGTGAAAGTAGTGGCAATGAAGGAAAAAGAAGAGTTAAAAACTCAGTCAGGAAGAAAGTAAAGCTTGGTCCGAGTGGGTTCTATTATGACACATAAATCCAACATATCTATATTTTTACCCATATGAAATGTACGCCGCTCAGAATATAACGCCAACAGTTTTGGATGCCTATGAACGGAAATGTTCCGAATGGTATAACGAATGCGACAATGCCATTAGAAGGTCAGAAATAGTTCCTGGAACTTACGAATATACAACTGCTGTTTCTTATGGAAACGTAGGTGAGTTTGGAGAAGGTTCTTCAACAACAGTAGATATTGCTTGCGACAGGTTTCATATTATTTCTATTGACAACTCATTCTTATACGTGGAACAAGACATTGAAATAAAACCTTCTGCCAAGTTGTCTGACAAGAAAGGTTGCAATGGAATTTTCTATGTCGGATACCAATATGCTCCAGAAGTTTTCATGGGATATAAGATATATTCTAACTCTGACTTAGTTCAAACAGTAACATGGGCAAACTATGAATGGTTCGCTTTGAAACTCAGTACAACCACAAGCTAGAGAACAAACAGACCAGTATGCAAATATTGAGAAAATAAGAAGACTTGACCCTAACGTTCCAGGAGTTTATGTTAACCTTTCTGGACAAACTGCAGCAGCACTAACCAAAGTAAAACTGAAACTTAGAGTTCCTTTGTCATCTTTCCTCATCTTCAGGTTTTAAGATACTTGCCAAACTGGGCAGGAAAAATTTCTATTCGAACTTACTCCAAGCAAAAATAACTTAGTCATTGCACCAACACAAGACCCATTCACTATTACAGACGTAAAGGGAACAAATCAAACATCATTCGCCGAATTTTGCAAAGACAAAGTTGACTTAGACTTTGGTTTCTCAAACTTCAACAATGAAGTAAACTATTATTTCAATGCTGCTGGAACTGCTTGGGACCCAGTTAAGTTCACATGCGAAAAGTTTGAATGCAAGAGAATAGAAAGCAGACTTGCAGTCTATATGTTGGACCCAGATATTTCAAATGCTTTAGCTGCCAAATATATTGCAGTTCCACTTATGTTCCCTATACACCAAATATCTGTCAAAGACTTTGCAGGTGAAGTTGGAAACCAAAGTGCTGACCCAGGTGCAAGAACAGATATTGCTTTAACAACTGCAATGAAACATGCAGATACTATGTTTGTACTGTTCAGACGAACTATAAATGACTATTCTTGTTTCTACAACCCCGGTATTAAATATCATATAAAACATAGATGGCAAATATTATCCAAGAGAAGAATATTCTACAGTTGAGGATATGAGGTCATACAACTTGACATTAGATGCTATGAACTTTAACAACAACTTCACAACAACCATTAACCCTGAAATGCAAAGTTCTATTATGCCATATGTGAAAGTATGGACTCATACAGGAGGTCAAAAAACTCAATATACAAATGGAGACCGTTCAAACTTTTGGCTTGGCATTCCATTTGCTGACTCAGAAGACTTTATGGGTGGTATTTCAACTGTTGGTACTGTACAAATACAATATACTGGTGACAGAGACGGTCCAGATGAACTGAGAGCAAAGAAGTTTACAAAACCAATAGCACTTTTCACGGAAGATGCTCTTTTGAAGATTCGTTCGATGAAACCTGCTGGGGCTCCTCAGATTGGCATAACGACAGCTTCCATCGAGCAGATTTTGGCAGCAGGTCAGTAAGTTGTTCTTTGAACACTTCTCACCATCGTAAATAGTTATACGCCAGTTTTGACATAATATTGTAAGATAAACTTACCTTTAGAAATATCTGTAAGTTTTGTTGTTATATTTTGTCAACGTCAAGAACTTTCACCATCTCGGTTATACCAACTTTCTTTGCTTTATGAAAATATTTTGGTTCAGCAAATATTGCTATTCTATAACATTTACCATTGTTTGTATAAAGAACTATTCTGTCAATGTATTTGTATTGTTTGTGTGTGTAAACTTTGTTTTGCTTCAATTCAAAGAGATATCCGAATACGTCCATCTTTTTATTCTAAGTAAAATGTCATTTCCGAAAAATAGAAGCGTGAGTGTTTCAAAAGGTTTAATGGCGGTGGCAGATGTGAAGTTAAATTCACCAACTCAAACAAACAGTCAAAGTGTTGTTGTCAATGTCAAAGACAGAGATGTTGAAGTGGGGAAACCATACGAAGACGAAGATGGTATAGCAATTGTTCCTGTAAAAGAACAACCAACATATCCTGAAGTTAGCAGAGACTTAAGTTCTGTTGCAGATATTCGAAACGACTACCAACAACTGAAAGACAAACTTCAAACTCAGGAGAAGATTTGTCAAGCTTTAAGTATAATGTTAAACTTGGTCGAACACAACCCTGTAAAAGTGAACTCATATGTCATTGCACCTCATGAAGTTTTGAAAGAACTATTGAAACTTTTGACAGAGGCAGACAATATAAACATCAAAGAAATAGAACCCGACATTAGTTGCTGTGGTGTTTCATATAATGTCATTGACAAGATATACGTTATGAAAGGAGGTGAAACGTTGAACTTAAAGTATAGTTTCCCAGACGTCATAAAAATATTTGACGACCACAACATTTCATTAAAATTTATTTGCTAAGTAAAAATGTCAAAACTTCTTGAAAGATGTTTGAAGAAAAATAATATAGACTTTATTTCATGTAAAGGACTTTACACACTTTTGAACGATATGAAAGACCCTGTTTTGTTTGTTCGTGTAGACAAAGGAAAGTTCTATGTCTTTACAAAATATTTGAACTTCTTAGACAGAGAACTTCAAGAAACGCCATGTGAAAGTTTAGATGAAGTTCTTCTCCACTTTCAGAAAAACTTTTAAATATATATAAATGGCAGAAGATATAATGGTTTATACTATTACGACTAAAAACCCTGAGTCATATAATTCTATAACAACAAACTTACAAAGTCCTCAAGGACGATATTGTAAACTAACTTTAAACACAATGACGACTAAAGCCTGTTTTGCTCTTTTGACACCAGAAGACTTTATTGTTGTGAATGGTAAAAAATACTCCTTTGAAGATACTTACTCAGATATACCACCAACAGGTTTTGTTGACTTATTTAATACTTTAAGGACGGGTGTAACATGTGCTGCAACTAGAGCAGGTTTCATTATGTTTGGATGTCCGACTGAGTTTACTATAAACGATATGAGCTGTAATACAAAACTTATTTCTGGTTTTTACTACCAACAGTTTCCTATAACAGGAAAAGGTGTCATACAAGGAATGTCTATTCCATTGACATTAAGCACACCAATCTTATATATTGTTTCAAACTTAGGTTCAAAGTGTTATTCGAATGTCGACAGAAACTATTATGACCAAAAGATACTTATGCGTATAAACAATACTTTCTCTGCTGGTTTGCCTATTGTTCATTCGAATGCAGAATTTTCAACCTTAGTGAACTCAAACACTTTGGCAAGTATAACGTTGACATTAGTTGACGCAAACTTTGTTCCTGTAAAACTTTTATGTCCTATGTATTTGTCAATGACGGCAGAAAGTTTCGAATTGGAAGATGCAACTGGTGAAAGTATTGTATTACAAGAACAACTTCAACAACAAATAGCTCAAGAACAACAAATGCAACAAATGCAACAACAAAGTCAAGAATAAAAAAAATATTTTTTTTATTTTTATAAAAATGTACAGAATAGATGTTTCAGATTTTTATGACTTCCAAGCATTCAGAAATATGTGTCCATTTCGAGACTATAACAAAGCAGTCGAGAATTTGAAACGTTTAGTCATTTATGTCGACTCTGCCCCAGAATGTTATGTTATGAAAGAATGGGATGTGTCTTTAACAAACCTAAAGCGACAATAGTTTCAGAACAAGAATGTAGACAGAAACTTAAGAAAATAAAAGTCGTACAAGTTGGCATGAAGATGTTAGATGCTTGGGATATCTTATTGTCAAAGTTAGAAGATTTTTCAGTTCGAGGTAAAAGTTCTATACACCTTCTCCAAACTTCTATTCTATCTTCACTGGATATAAATACGAACAAGTAGAATGGAAAGAAAATATTATAGAAGCTTGGTTAGACCATGTCAAAGAAATTATATGCAATGGAAACGAAAGAGTCTATGAGTATATCTTATGTTGGTTTGCAAACATCTTACAACATCCAAGTGCTAAAAATGAAACTGCTCTCATTATAATTGGAAAACAAGGAACTGGTAAGAACACATTCTTTACAGATATTTTGTGCAAACTGTTAGAGGCTATTCGAACCCGAATATGACAAACTTAGAAAACATCTGCGGTAAATTTAACTCTTCAATGAGAATATGAAACTTATAGTTTGCAATGAACTTCAAAGTATAGATACAACAAAAGTTTTGAACTCAGATGCTTTGAAGAGTCTTATAACAGACAAAGTTGGAGTTGTTGAAAGAAAATATAAAGACCAAAGAGTTTGTGAAAATGTTGCAAACTTCATTATGGTTTCAAACAATGCTGTTCCGATGAAGTTAGAAAGTTCTGACAGAAGATATGTAGTTGTCAGAACGTCAGATTCTCATATGCAAGATACAGAATATTTTGACGACTTAGCAGAAACTTTGACATCTGACTTTTACAACCACTTGTTCTCATATTTTATGACATTAGATATTTCTAAGTTCAATCCAAGACAAATTCCACATACCGAAGAGAGACAAACATTGTTAGAAGCAAACAAGAGTGTATATGAACTGTTCATAGATGAAACTGACTTTGAGTGTTTAGATGAAAGGTCATTGTACGATTCGTATAAACAATATTGTCAAGAATATGGTTATATGACAGCGTCTAAACGAACATTCTTGGCAAATGTCAAAAGTCTTTTAGATGTTCAGAATGGTGTATATACAAAGAAAAATTTTTCTGAGTAAATTTAAAAAAAATATTTTTTTATCCGATAGAAAAGATGGCAAAATTCATCTCAGTACAAGTACATGTCAGGACTTAAAGAAGAACTAGACCCATTCACATATTTGAATGTTTACTTCTACCATTTTGAAAAGTCTTCATTCAGCAAAGTTTGGAACATCGAACCAGTTAAGTTTGCTATTGTGACTAAAAATGGTGCGAAATTTGAAGACTTAGACATAGAAGGTTTGTTAGCAGTCAAAGAAAGTTTTGACAGAAGGTTTTCAAACCTTAAAGAAGGCAAAGCATACAAACTTGTTATACCTTATGAACCAAAGAAAGCAGACGACTATGAATATTATGAGTCTAAGATAGTTGAAGTTCAAGGTAAATTGGGTAAAAAGATTTTAGAGTCTAAGCCAGTGTTTACTCCTAAAGAGGAAAGAACATTGACATTGACCCAGAAATGTTCTAAAAATAAAATTTTATTTTTACATGTCAAATTTCTTTTTCTCTGGAACTGGTTCAGGTTCTTTCTTCTCTTCTTCTACTTTCTTTTCTTCTTCTCTTTTCTTTCTCTTCTTCTTCTTCTGGTGGAGTTATGTCAAATTTCTCCGAACCATATTTATGTAAAAGTTCTTTGTCCTTTAATAGCTCATCTATTCTGTTTTTCTATTTCATCTTCAAGAACAGCGCATGTGTCTTCTTTGCATTCTAAGAACTTTTGTTGGACTTCATCTTCCAATCGGCGTCATCTCTGTCAACAAGTCTGTCATTGACAAATTTTAAGACTGCTCTTTGTAATGTTTTATGGTTCTTGTCATATTCCCAGAAACAGAACTTTAGAACAAATTCACCTTTCTTGTTTACACTATGTAAGATTTTATGGTCGACAGATGTTTTGCTGTCAAAAAGTTGTCTCGAATATAGATAGCGAAATCGCTAGACATTTTCTAAAAGATAAAAATTTTAATTTTTCTAAAAATATGTTAGAAAAAAAGTTTGCTGACATTGACAAGAAATTTGAGAATGTTTTAAACAAGAACAAGAGGAAGTTAGAAAATGCTCAGATAAACCTATACATGACAAGTTCTTATTTGCTCAGAATGGTATAACAGGTCTAATTGCACCACCTGGGTCGGGTAAGACTTTCACTTATCTTAAAATGGCTGCACAACAACAAGAACTAGATGAGAAGAACCCATTCTATGAGTTAGTTGTCATTTGTAGTACTTCTGGTCAATTTGACCAAACCGTCAATTCGTTCAAAGATATTATAAAGAAGTCTAAGTTAGTATGTATAAAAGACTCTGAGTTGTTAGATTGGATAAAGAAGTACCAAAGAAGGGTTTTGAAGTATAATGCTATAAATGAGTATATAAATTCTAAGTTTAAAGACCCAAATGAGGAAATGCAGAGAATATTAGAGAAGAAACACTTCAGAAACAAACAGAAAGAGATAGAATACATTTCGAAGAAATTGCAATCTTACGATTGGAAGACTTACCCTCATAGATGTCTTCTTATTTTAGATGACTTTGCTTCTCATCCTTTGTTAAAGAATAGAGAACAAGATATGTGTCGAATTCTTAAGAAGCTCAGACACTTTAACATCTCAGTTGTCATTTGTGTACAGACAGCAAAGAGTTTAAGTAAGGATGTTAAAGAGAATACTTACTGACATTGTACTTTTCCCCGGATTGTCCGAAGACGATTTCATGGAACTTATGAAAGAGTCCATGGCAGGTAAGTTTGACAGACATGAACTCTGGGAGAAGTATAAAGTCATACAAGACCCTCATACTTCTTTCAGAATTCATATCTACGCAAACAAAGTTCAAATTGTAAAAAGTCAAGCTTGAAAAATAAATGGTTCATTTACTCTGCTTGTTTGAAGTTGTCAAAATACTCTGTTATTTTTTCCTTTAACAATGGCAAATCTTCTTTGAATGTAAGAATTGTACAACCTTTATATCATAGTGTGTTTGAGGTAACGTATCTTGAACTATTTGTTTCACATCTTCATTTGGGGTCATTGAAATCGGTAAGTTTTCGCGATAGAACCAATTTCTGTCAGATTTGTAAATCTTAGCAAGGTCGTAAAAGCTTTTGTTGTTTCTTCTGACTAAATGCAACATAACCATATCTTTATCTTCTTCATTTTCCATCTCTTCAGTATAAATCATATACTTATAGTTCTTTTCCTTTCCTTTTGGTACCGAACGTGGTATTCTTTTCTGAATGCTTTTGTCTTTTGCTTCAATGACTTCATTTTTTGCTTGAAGTTTCTTTTCCATCTCTTCACGTTCTTGTCTATGAATTTCGTCAAGAAGTCTGTAAATATACCAAGCATAACGAGGCGAAGCCCACATTGCAACAGCATTTACAAGAAGTCTATGTACATACCAACCTCTCAAACCATTTGGCAAATTTTTACGATTTTCATGAGTTTTAGGCGACCCCGAAAAAAGTCGGTCTCGCTGTGCTTCGCTCAAAAGTTCTTGTGTGCTTTGGTTTTTGAACCAATCGTCTGTATGTTTGGTATCTGGAGCAAAACATGCTGTCAAAATACTTTGCATTTGGTACATATCGTCTTTGACCGAACGAATGAGACGGAGTTGTTTGTTAAACTGTATGTACTCGTATTCTTCATTTATGGCTTCATGGACTATAACTGTTGTTGTGTTCTCTGTTGTTGACATATCTGTCTTTATATTCCGGATAAAAAAATAAATAAAAATAAAACTAACTTTATTTTTTATTTCGGGAAAATTCATGACAAATTCAAGAGGTGAGAAAAGAGGTGAAAAAACAGGTGAGATCTCACCACTTCACCTAAACATTATTTTTGCTGAAAAAGTGTCATTTTTTCATGTCCGAAGACTCGAAGGTGCAACACTTCCAAAATACCGACGAACTCAGAAGAGCAGCATGGCAGTATCTTCTTGACAACTTCTTTGAGTTCTCCAGGTACACCTTGGAAAATGCTGAAGAACTCCGACACAGAGAATTTGGAGAAATTGCACTCCAATACTACCTTGACAAACAAAGGGTAAACAAAGGGTAAATTAAGACTAAAAACTTAACGTTTAAAAAGTGACATTTTTATGAGCTCCGAGTCACCGAGAAAACTTGGTCAGATGTTAGCAGCTTACTTCCCTGAGGAGGATGGAAGCGTTACATACGTAAGGTTCAAAAACAACGAACCTGGAATTGCGTACAAAATTCGCAATTACATGACCATGGAAGAGTACGAAAGGTTCCTACAAGAGAAACCAGCTCTAAACAACTCAGAAAAGAAAGAATAAAAAGTTTAACTCGTAATTGTTTATTTTTTTACTTGTATGGGCAAGCTGCAAGAATGAAGTCGACTATCTCAGTCTTTGTTTTGACGAGCTGGACGGCTCTTGCGAGTACGTCTGTTTTGCGGTCTCCAGCTGGTGTCTGACCTTCGTAATTGCGCATGTTCTTGAGAGCTCCAACTGTAAATGATTGTAGGATGAAGAGTCTCTCAGACTGCTTGAGGTAGTCTTCACGGTCACGAACCGAATCTGTGGTACGAGTCGAATCGGTCGATTTGAGGGAAGAGACTGAAAGCCTGTCGTCTTCCATAGGGGCAGTAGCATACTCTTTGCGTAAGCGGTTCAGACCTTCTTCGAAGTCTTGGTCTCTCTTGGACTGAGATTGGAATTTGAATTGGGGTGGAGCTTGCTGGAACATCCAAGGGTTGGGGAAGTAAGGCATAGGCTGAGGAGGGTAGTTCGGGAAGCCTTGTAGTGGAAATTGGTAGTAACCTTGAGGTGGAAATTGGTAGTAATTTGGTGGAGGGACTTGCTGGAACTGAGGTTGCTGAGGAGACTGTTGTGGTTCTGCAGCTTTCGGTTCTTCTGGCTTTGGAAGGCGTTCAGGAAGAGGAACGTCAGTCATCCGTTTGTGTCCTGTCGGAAGGAAAAATTTTTCCTGTCGGAAGGAAGAACTTTTCCTGAAGTTCGACCAAAAAGTTCTCAATTTTCGAAAATTTGAATGGTTTACGGACGGACAACTGGAAGAGTTCTTCCTGTCGGAAGGAAAAATTTTTCCCTTTGTCCGGAAAAATTTTTCCAGTTGTCGGGAAAATATTTTCCTGTCGGATGGAAGGACTCGGAATGCCAGAAGGATTTGACGAGGCAATTTACCTAATTGAACTTAACGACTGCGTAAAAGACTACTTGCGCAAGGTCATGAAGCCCAAGGTCAAGTTCACCGCTATTTCTGGAAGGGCTGTCTTGAATCTCGAGACTTCGACTGGAATTCCAATTCAAATACCAGACGGGACAGCCTACGATGGCATAAAGGACGCCAAAAGAGAAGCTCTTGTTAAGTTCCTAAACAAACGTCCTTGGATAAAAATACCAAACAAGGAGAACCCCCTACCCCATATGAAATTGGCAATTCAGTCTCTCCTTCACTTCTCGGGTCAGCCGTTCTACATAACCTGTGAAGGCGACATCCAACCAGTTCTAAACCTTAACGTTTAGAGTAAAAACATTTTTTTCATTTTTTGAATGAAGCAAGTTAAATTCGTCCCACACCAATCTCAATGGACCGATGAAGAGTTTCAAGCCATAGTTGAAGACGTTGAGAACGACATAGACGGCGAACTTGAAGGAGCTCAAATCACAATTGCAACCAAAATTGCAGGAGTCAAGGAACAGATAGCTCCACTTAAAGCTACCAAAGCTACTCTTGACCTCATGGATAGTTACCGTTTAGATGTCAAGAGTGGAATAAGACAATTAAAATTAAAACTTCTAAACTACGAAGCTATACTCCAAAAGTTAGCAGAAATGAGAAGACTTTACCAGAGCTACTTACATGTAAGGGACTTACCTTCAAGCAGTCCGACCAAAGATGAATTTGTTGACATTGTCCCAATTTTGTCCGAAAGTCAGCTCAGATGTTTCGAACTGCTCCCAACATATCCGGAATATGAACGTTTGCCTGAACTCTTTCGGTTCCTCAAAAAACGTTTTTTGGTTCTCATGTTCGAAACTTTTATCGGAAGAGACAACAAACGTTCAGAAGAAGAACAAGATATTATTTTAAACTTGTTGTATGACATAACTGTCATAACAAGCTTTTTGAAGTAAAACCGCCATTCTCAAACCACTTCATTTTTCGATGTCCGAACAAGCACCGAAGCCAAACTCAATGGCAGATGTCCTTTCAAGGTTGTCAGACAAGCGCCCAGTTCAAATTCAAATTGCCCAATTGAAAGCTCATCTGACAAACACCATTAAGACTCTCCAAAGTAGTCTTATGACAGAGATGACCAATCTCAAAGCCAATGTCCTCACGAACCAAGCTTCCAATGAGAAAGTCCTGAACGATTTCGCGGAAACCTTGCGCCAATACGACATAGAGAACCAAAACCTTGCCCGACTCATCTACCGTTTCTTCGAAGAGATAGACGCCATCTGGAAGGTACTCGGAAAGGACAGAACATGCAACACCGTACTTCGTGAACACAGAATTGCCGAAGGTATTATCAAAGAAGAGGAAGAAGAGGAAGAAGAGGAAGAAGAGAAACACGAAGAAGTTCCTGAAGCCGCTACATGGGCAACCCTTGTTGCCGATGACGCTTACGAAATTTCCCAACCCTACCCATACCAAATCCGCAACAAGGAGACAGGCAAGGTTCTTACCCCAGTCCTCAACAACTTGGGACACTTGAACCTTAACCTTCGGAATTACGGTTCAATTTCCATGGGAAGGCTTGTCGGTATGCAATGGGTTCCAAATCCATACAAGAAGACGAGGGTCAGACACATTGACGGTGACAAGCTCAACAACCGTAAGGAGAACCTCGAGTGGTTCTAAGAGTAAAAAAATTTTATTTTAGGGGGAAACCCCAAGTAAATTTAGGTGTTTATTTGGATAAGTATGTTAAATTAAGGGTAATTTGCAAAATTAGTTCCCGACCTTTGAATTGGGCTCTTTCGTTATCCCAGTTGCGTAGGAGGTCGTCCCAGAGGAGTTGGTAGAATTGCCAATCCAAGGACGATTTGTCCTCCCAGGCATTGAGGATGTACTGCTCGTAGAGTTTCATGACCTCTGCCTTGCACCAGACACCCTCTCCCTTGGAACGTAAGGCTTCTTCGAAGTGCTCGAATGCGATTGGCTGCGTGACCATCCGAAATGACACTTTTTGTCCGTTTGGTCAATGTTTGTGTCTCGTGCCATAGTCGACGAAAATACAGACAAACAGGTTATATATGAGTTTGAGACCAAGAATGGTGTAACTCGACCTGTCCGATTCAAAGACTCCGAGGGCGACCATGAAATTAAACGGAAATTAGCTAGGAAGGAATATAAAATGGACTGGTTGCCACCACCTCCACCTCCACCACCTTTACCTGTTCCTCAAGTAAATAAGCCTTTCCCGTTCCCAAGAATTCCCACATTTTAATTCAAATTCGAATAAAAATTTTTTATTTCATGCAATGTTTTATTTCTGTGCCGTCTTCAAGTATGCCCCAGTACTTACGCTTGGAGAGGACATGAACTTCGGTGAAAATTTTGTCCAATTTGAAACCCATCTTTCACCGACCATTCCCATTTCAATGAGTTTGTTGTATCCTTCTTCGTTCGTCATGAGTGCGTCAATGTTCTCATAGTAAACCTTCACTTTGGATTTGACTTCGGAGAAGAATTTGTTGTAGTTGTCAAGGACTGCCTTTGCGAACTGAGGGTAAGACCAATGTTCGACAATAGGTTTTAATGTGGTTACTAAGCCACTTTGACCTTGAGTGAATTCGTACTTCAAAACAAAAGGAGAAAACCTTTCAACAAAGTTGTCGACCTTCTCATAATGTTTACTCTTCATCTCTTGAGGTTTCTTAATGGAATATCCCCATGTCGAATTCATAAGCAATTTGAGTGTCATTGCAAGTTTGGGGTTTGAAGCTTTCCTAATATCATACAGTTGTTGTATGACTTTTCCAACTGTATAGTTCCTTCCCGGGAACTCACCATCTTCGTTTGGAATTCCAGTCGGAATATATTGGACAAACCTCATGTATGCAGCGTTAAGGTCGACATAGTATATCTTTTCATCTGAGTCGAACTTGTCGCAACCAATTGGTCCAGTTTGTGGAAATTCAAGTGAGTCTCTTATCTTCTGAGAAACTTCTCCTGTTATCTCATAAACATCGTCGAAGCAACCTGTTTCATATAAAACCTTCTGACCTAACTCAGATGCTCTCCAATACAATTTGACGTCAATTGGATGTCTCAATGGAAGTTTGTTTATAGCATCTTGAAGTTCTTGCAACCTCATTGGAAGTTCTTCTGGTTCAGGTTGGTATCCGAACAATCCAACTCCTTTTGGAATTGTGTACTTCTTTTGTACTAGAACTTTGTCTGGAACAACTTTTGGTCTTGCTAACAGTGAAAAGTTTGTTTCGTCTTTTGGTACAAAAGTTTCTGTCAGCTTGTCATCTGGAATTGGTTCCAACAAACCTTTCTCGAAAAGAATGTTTACAGCTCTGACAATGTTGCACTTGCCTTTTCCGAACAATGGGTTTGTAAGACTTTCGTTCAACATGAAGTGGTTGTGGACAATTGCAATCTTCAACCATGGTAAATTGAACTCAACAACATAGTCGTCATGTGAAGAACCTTTAGCTGTAGGTATGTTGACTCGGATATTGACATTTGCCAACGGTGCAATTTTTGCCAATTGACCTCTGAGAATGTACCTTGTCTTCACACATGACTCAAGATACTTCATCTTCTCATCTGTAACAAGACCAGAGTTCCTGAGACATGTAAGAATGCAAGGTTCATTGACAATTGTTTCAATTGAATTGTAAATTCCATACCTTGTCAAGTCAATGTCAGACTTATTTATGAAGGGAAGTATCCAGCATGTTGTCTGACTGCTTGAGGGTTAGGTTGGTACCATTCGAACTTGACACTTGCAATTCCTTCAATTGCATTCAAAATGTCTGAGTCGGAGTCAACCATTTGTTCTCTCTTTGTAGTCTTGAAAGCGTCAAGAAGTTTTGCAGCTGTTTGTTCATTGCCATTTGCATAGTAAATGTGACCATCCAAATCTGTTATGGTCAATCTGAGATTGTATCCTTTCTTATTTCCGTCTTGTATGGCAGCAAGTACACCCATGAAGCCTTCTTTGTTCTTTCCTTCGTCAAAGTTTACTGTAAAGGTTCGACCAGATGTAATTTGACTTCTAACTTCACGATACTTTTCATATGCATATCTTGTTCTTTCCATGGGAGCATGACCATCCTCTGCACTACCTTTTTTCCTTCTCAAAGGATGCAATTGTTCGTCATGTTTCCAGTAGAATCTGGCAAAGCCGTCGTGTCCTTCAACTTGAGGTTCACTAACATCGAAAGGCATGTCCATAAGACGTTCTTCTTCTAACTCTCTAGTCTGTTTGGATAATTTGCACGTGCTGTTTCCAAATCCATTTCGTAGGTCGAAGACCAGACATTTGTCATAGACTTTTATGGGTCTTCCCTTCCTATATTTAAACTTCTTCGAAACTCTCCAACCATATCTTTGCAACTCTGCTTTTATTCTAGCAGACTTTCTATCCATTCTATATGGGGGCATTTTTTATAAAATAAAAAAATGATTTTTTTTTACTTAACATAACCGCCTGCTGCCATAAGTCTTTGACGCCAACCCATACCAGCTAATGAAGGTTGACTTGGTTTAGTTTCCAAAACTAAACTTTGGTTTTGGTTTATCTTCAGTTTTTGGTTTCTCTTCTTCTATCGTTTTTCGTCACTTTCGGTTTCTCTGACTTTACTTCACTTGCAGGAACAGTTGTGTCGTCAACATCTTCATAAATATCATATGCCATTTGTTTTTTGTTTTCCTTTCAACTTTTTGTGTTTGTTGTAAAGTTTAGAATATTTCGACTCTAAGTCAATGAGATGTTCTATAATGAACTGTTGTCAGTGAAGTAAACTTTTCCATCTGTTGTCTCGAAAGCTCCTTCAGACTTCAATATTTTATTTGTGAGAGTCTGTTTCTTTTTGAGATACTAGCCGTTCCATTTCTATGAAAAGTGACTTTATAGTTAGGGTTTGTATTTCCAGACCTGGCACTTTCTATTATTGAATTTTTCTCTTCATCTGTAAGTTCTTTGACAGGTTTTTGACAATGGTTCTGAACTTTTTGTTTGTGGTGTCAAATCTACCGTTTCAACTTCTTCGTCATTTCATCTCAGTAAAAAATTTTAGTTTGGTTTGTTTTCAACTGGTTGTTGTTGTTTTTTAAGTCGGTCTAAAACTTCCTGAGGTATAGGAAGAACTTGACAAACACGTTGTGTAACTGCTGGAAGCACAAATCCATCTTGAACCCATTTGTCTCAATGCTGTATTGTTCATTTCATCTCAGTAAAAAACTTTACATTCCCCACGTTTGAGGCGGTTGAGGTTGGTTATTGTTTACCCATTGTTGTGCATGGTTATATCCTCTGTTAAAGAATCTTTCACCTTGGTCCATATAGTGTCCTGCTTGGTTATAGTAGTCATTTGCTTTGTTATAATAGTTTCCTGCTTGTCTTCCTACATTGTCCATCCATCCTTGAACTTTTCCTCTTGTTTCAGGATTTGAATAAGATTTGTTGCATCTCGTGCTACATCCAACCTTTCTGTACAGTTTGTATAATAGGTTGTGCTTTCTCTTTCAGTTATACCTAATGTACTCAAAATCTTCCTTCCAACTCCAAATACACCTCTGGCTATTGTTCCCACTGCGGCAAAAATCTGGATG